AAGCAGCTTCACCGGAAATTCATGCAAATTATCTTTGAATTAGTAAGGCAGAAATTGCACGAAATTGACAGCAAAACCAAAATCAGCCCTTGGCCCTTAACCCCACGGCTACTTACCCACAGCCAAATATCACGTCATACAAGTACTCCACAAGCGGTAGACGCGGCGAAATTCAGGCTTACTGTCACAATGTTCGTGAGCCGAAGACAAATGCGCTGTAATATCGCAAAGTAGTAATTGAGAATTCCTGAAAACTTCAGTCGCACTTATTCGCATATCAAGGCAGTAGGAGAGAACGACTTCTATTGAGGTGTCTCAAAACATAATGGGCATTTATGGATCTTGTGCCAGTTACTATTTCCAGAGAAATCTTCTATCAGTTTGCATGGGCTGTAAACAGCGCCTTGCTATCTGTATAAAACTCGAATGGAGCACACCCGAGGCTTAGGCTTTTTCTCCGAACCAAAATGAAAAAAGAGGGGAGCCACGCTTTTCTTCATGACCTTCTACTGAGACGCAATCGATGCTACGAAGCCAGATATGAACTTTTCCCTGCATCACATATCATTCGTTATTGCTTACTGTGTGGTGCCAATACATTTCAATATACTCAACAGTAAGCTTTGCATCAACTCAAAATGTTACCCCTCGGATCAATCGTAAATTTGTTGGCAACCTTCAGGCTCCTCATGATGGCCTTCGTTCCAGCAGAGAATGGAAGGGGGCGCGGTGGTTCATTCTGACAAACCTTTCCCGCTCTACTATTTCCTCACGCATTTTACAAACTGTAAGAATCAAATGCTTTGGTGGACCCGAACTGCTGTTGCTTGCTGTTTTACGCCGCAGTTCGCGTTACGAATGAAATCACAAGAATGCTGAGTTGTGGGCAAAACTTTCGCCCCAGCCGGGATTCGTACCCGGATCTCTTGCTTTCCGGGCAACTATGCTACCAGTTACACCACCTGGGCACCATTTCACTTCCAACTCAGCTTTCGATGGTAAAGTTACCGCTTGTGTAAGTGTAGCAACAATCGTCCGAAAACAAGAGTCTGGGTACAAATCTGAGGCGAAAGTTTGCACAACCTCAGCATTCTTGTGATAACAAACTTCCGCGTCTACGGCGTAGTACAGCAGTACGTAGAAGAGTAGCAGTACGTAGAACCAAGTCGCTACTGCAGATGAGAAGAAACATCTCGTGGCAAGCGAGGCGCAAAAGCCAACAGACTAGACCAAGCATGGAGCGAGAAGCTGAAAAGCTGACAAAGTCACCACAACGTCATACTCCGTTCTCTGCTGGATCTGTTCTCGAGTCAACCACTGAAAAATATTCCTCTTTGCTGCGATTAGGTCGGTCAGGCCCAACGGAAAGACCGGTGGTCCGACAGCTATACCCACAACTCCATAACTATGTCCGCTTAAATTTTACCACACATGTCAAAAATGACGCAACGCTATACCCTTGGAGGTTATAGATGTTAGGGCTCTTTCACATTCACAGTACTGCGGAGAACAAGCCTTCTCTAGTGTGGTTTTGAAGAGCTTTTCTTGTTCTATCTAACAGCTAGGCTAGCTATGTTTCTTATCATTTAGTTGTCATTTTTTGAAGCCTTGAATACGGCATACTCCAAGAGCAAATTTGCATGATTTCCTTTTTCTAGCTCAAAGCAGGCCAGTATGGAGAGGGAGCAGGTCAAGATATTATAGACGCACTTGGCTGAGATTCGCAATAAATATGGTCTGAAGCAATTGTTCAAAAAGCTTTTGTAAGAATAGCGAGAGCCCCAAAGATTGTGAGGGTGGTGATCGGAGATTGGACAACGCCAACGATTAGTCGAACGTTCTGGTTGGATCACGTTTGCACAATCTATTAAGAGGGTTCCTCCTAAAGTAATCGCACTTGCCTTGTGTTTTCTTATTGTACGGGAACGAGCTGTGAAGTCAAAAAGCATTTTAAGTTGCCGTGCCGCGATAGCTCTACCATGTTTGTAAGGTTCGTTCGCCGCTTTCCAAGCTCGTTTTATGCCATGAAAACGACCTGATTTTTTTGAATTATTATTGTGACGTACGATAAAGAACGGACTCTTTGCTACAGAATACGAACCTTTGGTGAAGTGATCGACCGCGTTCAGGCTCTACAAACTTTGCAAAAGTGAAACTTCAGTGAATGAAGGTTGAGGTAACTTTCATAAGGTCAGCGGCTGGTCTAGCTTTTCGTAACCAGGTGGATCTGTTAATGTGGAAAAAGTACTCCTGATAATGTGTAAAATTACTCCTAGAACTCTGGCACATATGCTCGAAATTCCTCATTATAAAGGAACCGGCTCGTCCCTGACAGGTAGCTCGGACGCACATTCCACAACCAACCCTGCAGAAGTTGACAAGATTGGCTACGAATTAGTCCTGCGAACATCCTACTCGGTAGACCTTTTGCCTATAATTTGTCACTTTCTCGACTACCTGGATAGCTTCTCCAAAGAGTTATGCTTCAAAAACCAACATGATGCGGAAACGACCTCCGCCGGGTTCATCGTCTCTAGAGCTCCAGTATTCTGCACTACCGGGCTGATTCAACGCAGCTATTATTGGCAGAGGTTTGTGGATTCTAACAGTCTTTACTCCAATCAAAAAGGTTTCGAATGAGCCGAGATACAGGCATTTGAAAATCAAGGTCGAAAAGCGCAAGAACTTTCTTCACGACCTAATACCACCACACAAGTGAAAGAATCCGAAATTCGCACGTTTTCTAAGGGATATTTTATCTTTCAAGTGAGTCCTCAAATCTGAAGGGATGTGAAGCACACGGCGCATCCCAGAGTGGGCCCAGTTGGTTGCGCGCGCTTCAACTACGGCTCTCTGGAGAAAGAATCTCAATTCAGGAAAAATCAAGAGGATTCTGAAAGGGTCCGTGTGAAATTACAGGGAGGAGTACACTATTCAACAAGAAATGCAGCCTTCAGCGTCAAATTCATGAACATGTAAGTGTTAAAGTTGAGATTCGCGAACAATTTTACACTTGTTGGAAAGAAAAAAGCACGTGGATTCCGAATCTGCTCCTACTTTTGTACAAATCGCCCCTGAAAGGAGCTATAGTCGTTGAAATAGTGCCAATGCAGCGAAAAGTACCTTTCGGCGGTACTCGGGCAAAAATCCTCAACGTGGCCATTTTTTAAATACTGGACGTAAGCTGCTTTAGCAACCGTTTGATAGAGCAAATCTTCTAGTTTTGATGACGTATTAACTTTTCGATTTGACGAAAATGAAGCAAGTTATGGCTTCGGAAAGTGTAAAAACTCGTGCTCATCATGAATTTTCCTCGTTAATTGATCTAAATTTGTTATTTCTTATAACTTTTTGTAATTTCAATACTGATTAGAAAAAGCTCTTCACAAAACTCCCAAATCTGCTTTCAGATTGAAAATTCGTCATATTTGAAGAAAGTTATAATCATTTGAATATTTGTTCAAATTTCAATAGTAAATAAGCTGCTCCACGGTCAACGCCAAAGATCAGTCAACACACAGCTGGCTAAGGCGGTTACAAGGCTTTCTTCAACTGAAAGGGGGACGTGTAAATTGAGAACATAGTTATTTACATTATGTTGTTTTTTGTGTATTTTTTGTGTATCTTTATGATTTTTCGTCACCAGTCGGTGCTTTCCGTGATTTGGTTTTTCTTTTCTTTGTGTGGTACTGTTGAATACACGCAGAATCACTGCGTCCAGAAAATAAATAAATATCCCGCCTCTTTCCTTTGCTCCTGTTAATTCTCCGAAGCTCGGCTCCGATCTGGGTTTCGTGAACAAATGCACTTCTCTACACCTAGCGTTTTTATTGCGCTCACTGAAGTTTGAAATTGGTAGCATCGAACTGTGGGCCATTTCACCTCGCTGTTTGACCTGGGTGCGCTTGGAAAGAATGGACCATTGTACTGTGTTTCTCACAAGAAAGAGCCTCTACAACACTCCCAAATTTATTAAAAAAAAAACGCTCCATATTTTAAATGGTTCCACTTAAAGAGTGCGGAACGATAGCAATGCAGCGGAGCGTATCCCACAGGGTGTCAGATCGTGCGTGGGTTTTGGTGCTAACTTGAAAGGCACGAGTCGGGATTGAATTAGTATGTTATTTTGTTTGGAAACTAGGCAAGGAGCGCAGTGAGGAACGTTAGTGAGGAGAAAAAGCAAAAAGCACTATAGAAAACACTAAATTCCCATATGAGGCAGGCCGAGGCATGACGGAGAAACCCTCTGCCTCGCACTTTTGAGTCGCAACAATGTCACGCTTCCTGCTCTTTGGGACCTCTCCTTTTCACACTGGAGGAGCTGAATCCTGGGACCTAAACTTGACTCGTGGCTTTAAGGAATGTAGAATGAAAACACAACCCTTTCAAAGTTCTTAGGTCCCGTGGAGATACCATACCAAAAATGTTTCGTAAGACTACTACAACCTCGAATGATTGCATCTGCGATGCACAGCAATTTAAAGTTCCTCCACAAGACGGGTGCACTCTGAATTGCCTTGTGGGGAGCCTTCGCTCCACCTGGACTCCTGAAGACTCTAACAGGTCCTTATGAAAACTTAGGCACTGGAATTATGGCGTTCCGAAGAATTTTAGCCAGAAGCATACCAATAAAATGGCTCGCTTTTCAGATTGTTGAAATGGAAACGCGGCTTAGCCGTGTTTTCTCTGAGATTTCCCTCGGAATTTTCATGGCATCATATAAAAAATGTCGGTCCAGGAATTGTTGACCGACCAAACAGCCTACAACTGGATGCATGATGTACAACGGTTTCGTTTTCATATGATCGCAAACTGGTCTTGAAAATTGCTTTTCAGTCGTGTAATGCTTCTACGTTTGTCGACGTAGTAGGGTGAAAACGTTCTGTGTTACGAAATTTCAGAGAAAATTGCATGGAATCGTTTTATGCAGGCTTTTTGCAAACAAAGACATAATCTAGTAAAAATAACAGGCAGAAAAAGGCCGTTGATGAGTAGCAAAATCATGATAGCGTTGTCCGGAAGAAGCACAAAGTAAGCATGAACACAACTCTAGTGCCTTTAGCATGGATATGGTTGCATCCATACTGCACCCCCTTGGGAAGCTTCTCGATCTAAATAATATCAATATTTAGCAACAGTCACGATACCGTTAACCTAAAGGGAAAATTCAGTATACACAGCCAAGAATGAAGAAACCAACGCTTCCTCCCGCCGCCTGCTGCATAGTTGAGCGGCCGGCAAAACTAAGCGACTATTGGATATACTCGTCTCATGCATACTGGTTCAGATTGGTTTCGAGTAATTCATTGACTCAAAAATCTCAAACCTAACGACACACCAGTGCGCAAGTTGCGATGCATGCCTCCTCAAACTGATCATGAGAATGGGCAACGTCATGTAAAGCAGGGGCAACTATTAAACCTTGAAGTAAACAGGAACAGATTACGTGTCGTCCGGTCGCCTATCATAAGTTACACTTTAGCAGTGAAGCGACTGATGTCATCTCAACGCATTCGGAAGACTTACACCTTACAGCGTTTATTTAACAACTCACCTCACTCCTGTAAATACCGTAAGGGAGGAGGGTGTAAAATAATTTATCCGCCATTGTCAGATTATTCCAGAGCGGATATTCCCTTAAAAACACGTTTGTTTGCGAGAACATGAAATGGTAATCTTTTAAACCCACTGAATGGTAAGGCGCATGATATTGGGATACTTTAACGTCCCAGTTCCTTTCATTATTCTTGTATAAGCCTGACTCGATATGGTCCTATTCCAATTCTGTAGGCAAAACTTGCTATTAGGTTGATTTTGTGAAGAATTTAATCTTTGAACTCATGCTGTGGGAAATTGCTGCCTAAACCCTGCTCTCCACTTGGGTATAACAAAAAATGACTGACCATGTCTCTATTAAGGGAAGAGAAGAACTCTTTGTAAATGTTTTCCAGGTACCTGGGCATGGGCCATGGTCCAGCTGAAAAGTAAAAAAAATTTCGCTTAACTAATCTAAGGGAGTCTTTGCGGACATAATAAAATCAGATAAGTGCTATACAAATGCTGCACTTACCTTTGACAGCGACATTCGCCATCACAAAGAGGGCCGCTGCGAGAACGAGAAACATTTTGTGACAAGTGTGGGAGCTTAGCCCATCCCTTTATATTGCCTTCATATTAGCGAATTGGAAAATGTTTTCGAGCAGTATTATTGAAATTAGCCCTTGTCGCAGCCGCGACGTCAGAGGTGGGGCTCCGCCCTTCACGACGCTATTAGGCCCCGCCCACAGGCTTTCTCGTTTCCGTGTTTTCACAGTGTGAAGAGCGCTAGCATAAAATTTAACACTGAACCGTACACAAATATACAGGAGGTCTGCTTATCTTGGTGAATCG